GGGCAGGCGGGAATCGAACTCATGCGGAAGCGGCTTTAGATTCTCAGTGCTGTGCTTTAACCCGCTGCGCCACCAGGGAGGGCCAGCAATGTCTTCTTTTAATCGGTATATTTATTTATGTTCCTTAGGTTCAAGCCTGGTTCTTTCCTGTATTACTGATATGCCCAGAGACACCTGTGATAGGGCCTCTTGAGGTTGTCCAGGGCCCAGAACCTAGCTCAGCTCATCAAACTTGAAGTGTTGTTCTGATGACATTCATTTGTTACAGTCCAGATGTTGGGATTTATTGGGTGGGGTTATTGGGTTCCTTTTGAAAAGATTTCAGCTGAGTTCCCCATTCAGTAGCACATGGGAGTTTAGTATGGAAAAAGATGTTTCCGTAGATCAAACAGGTAAAGGCTGCATTTTTAAAGGGCAGGTTTGTTAGGAAAAAGAAAAAAAGAAAAGGAGTTCATATATATACAATCTCAGTAAAAAGGACAATTATATTTAAGATAATCACACTACAGCAACAAAGAATTTGTTTTCATGTCAAATGGTAATTTCCTGATAGAAGGATATGTACACATTAAATTCAACATGCAATCTGCATGTGAAGAAAAAGAGGACTTAAGGAGCTTGTAGAAATCTTTCTTAAAGACTTGCACGGTGGCTCAACCAGATGTGTATGTGGAAGGCCCCGGACTTCTCAGCCTCAGGCAGGCTTATTTGTCCTTTGTCAAAGCTTGTTGATTTTCTTTCATATCAGAAAGTAGAGTTTGTTTGAAGAACAAGTAATTTTAGCAAACTTTAGGTGTAATGTTTGCTCTGTAGTTCACTTACCCTATCCAAATTACTGGAAAAACCAACAAAATGAATTGAATTTCCTTCTCCTTCAGATGGAAACCCCGACAGACAATGACATTTTGCCAGCCTGGCTCCTTGGGTGAGGCCTAGACTTGTGTGTTTACTCATACCATCCTGGAATGTCCTATGGGAAATAAATCAACCAATGGGTCTTTCAAGTGAGGATTTTTATTTTTATTTCTTTTCCACAATTGTATATTGTGTATATATGGACAGGGCTGTTAGAGTTGTGAAAAATATAAATGACTACATTTTTTTTTTTAGTTCACCAGACTATTAGATTCTCCACTGAATGATAGAGAAAAAACTGTGTCATCCTGAGATATCTAATTTTCAGTGGAATGTAATAATTGCACAAACCATTTGATTCTGTTGATACCTCATGAAGATGGAGTTTTTGTACGTTGGAAAGAATGCATGGATAATTGTACATGAAGACAGATGACTAGAGTGACATTTTGCTAGAAATTTTTTTTTCTCCCAGTATTTACAACACCCTCTTCCTTTTAGTAATAGACTATTGATAAGTTAGTTGAGTAAAAAGTATCCAGTAAAATAGAATACACCCTTCAGCTTTCTTGGCAATATTGGCCTTTGTAGTACAATTGTAGTCAATACAATATGTAAAAGAAATACCTGAACTTTATGGGTCTTGTATTTAACAGAAAAAATGTTGCCTGTCACTAACATCCTTTTTGGGGCTGGAAGTCAGAATGTGGACAGAAACCTAAGACATAGCAGTGGAACCCACTTACTGAGAGTGAAAAATTTATCTAACTTGATTCGCTAAAAGATCTCTTGGAGAAACAACCACCTGTTTGCCCTGGAATTTTACGTGAGAGTGATATTTTATGACCTTATTTCAACAACTATACTTTTGGCTTTCTTTTTTTCTTTGTTTTTAAATCTCTATATTAACTCCTATATCATCCCTGATATTGCCAAGGATAATTATTAAGTTATCCCTAGAAATACACTGAAGTTTCAGGTGTATTATATTACAGTTTAAGCACAATTGTTCAGAATGTTGAATAGAAGTAATTATCTGGGTTATGGGGAATAGGCCATATCACTTAGCTAGGATAAGGAACATTTATCTGTACGATGTTGACATAATTGCTCTGCGCCAACTCTTCGTCTAGAGAAATAAGCAAAATATTCCCAATTCATATTTTTCTTCTACATTTGCAATTTCTTATTGTTTTCTAATGTGAAAGATTTAATCTTTATTTTCTCTAATTTGTATGTATTTTCTTTTTCATAAGCCCAGTTTCAAGAGTTAGCAGTTATATCATCAATACATTAAATATTATTTGCTTTAAAAATAACACAAATACATCTTTGAAACCCAGATTTAATTTGTACCTACCATTCTAATAGGCATGTGTATGTATCTTGTATCTCCACATACATAGTTCCTCCATTGCATTTAATTTCTTTCCGTGCTTTAAGACTACTTGAGTTTAATAGGCAAATTTTATTTCTCTTCTAATTCATAAGAAGTTTCCTTCTAGCAGACCTTTTAATGACGTTCATGAGTTCACAAATGTAACTATTTTAGACAACTTTATTATTTAATACTTTGCCTGTTTCTATCCCACCTTTCTTTGACAACTTAGGTTTTGTCTTGTTCCCATGTTTCAGGTAGTGAAACAATAATCTGTAGTGAAAAATATGAGAGAGATTCAGCTTATTCAGTTAACTTTAATAGCCAGCATAAAAGTATATCCTCCCAATGAATCACAATGGTGAAGTTGAAATGAAATTTTGGAGAAGGCAAATGCATCTCAGGACAGCAGAGCTGTGCTGATGTACCCGATGGCTCACCCCCATTGGTCACTGCCTGGGGCATTGTCTGGGTCTTCCTCTAAGGCTAGATTATAACAACAGTGGATTTATGATATAAAAGCACTAAATTAACTTCTAGATTAAGGACAGAAAGGAGGGAGCACTATCAACTACACATTGCTGAGAGCCTCCACTCCTGGAAGGTTTTTACCTTCCAGAAGCTCTAGACTGGCACCTCCTCCAGTGCTCACATGGCTGACTTTGTCTTCAGTGTTCCATTTGGCACAGCAAGTAGCAGTGTCTCCACCTCCTATGATGGTGATACAGCCTTTGGAAGTGGCTTTTACAATTTCATCCATGAGGGATTTTGTTCCATTAGCAAAGGAATCCCATTCAAATACCCCTATAGGCCCATTCCACACAATTAGCCTGGCTTGGGCCACAATTTCAGCAAACTTCTTGTTGGTCTCAGGTCCACAGTCCAAACCCATCCAGCCAGCAGGTATGCCAGATGACACAGTGGCTTGGCCAGTTTTAGCATTCTCATCAAACTTGTCAGCTGTCACAAAGTCAACAGGAAATGTAATGTTCACACCATTCTTACTAGCTTTGTCCATGATATCTTTGACAATCTTGGCTCCTTCTTCATCAAATAGGGAATTACCAATCTCCATGTTGTTGAGTACCTTGAGGAAAGTATAAGCCATTCCACCTCCAATAATCATCTCATTGACTTTATCAAGCATATTTTTGATGAGTTGGATCTTGTCTGCCACTTTAGCTCCACCTAGTATAGCTAGAAAGGGCTTTTCTGGATTTTCCAAGGCTTTGGCAAAGTAGTCAAGCTCCTTCTTCATCAGAAATCCAGAAGCTTTTTGTGGCAGAGTCAATCCCACGATGGAACTGTGGGCCCGGTGAGCAGTGCCGAAAGCATCATTCACATATATATCCCCTAGCTTGGAGAGTGAGGCTCGGAAGGCTTCAGTTTTTCCTGGCTCAGCTTTAATTTTATTTCCAGAAGAATCTAGGCCCTTCCCTTCTTCTTCTATATGAAAGCGCAGATTCTCTAGCAGGATGACAGAACCTGTAGGTGGTCTGGCACAGGCTTTCTCCACTTCCCTTCCCACACAGTCATTCAGAAACAGTATTTTCTTACCCAACAAGGACTGTAGCTCAGCAGCAACAGGCTGTAAGGAGTATTTTTCAGGCATGGGAATACCATCAGGACGACCTAGGTGACTCATAAGAACGACTGACCTGGCTCCATTATCGAGACAGTATTTTATGCTTGGGATGGCAGCCTTGATTCTCTGGTTGTTTATAATCTGATTCTTTTTCATGGGAACATTGAAGTCCACTCTCATGATGACACGTTTCCCTTTAACATCCAGTTTGTCCAAAGTTAACTTCTTAGTAAGAGACATTTTGGCAAGACAGGATGCCACCTGGATGCCAAGGCAGAGGAAGCGCTTTGCTGCTGTTGGGAGGCTGGCTGGGTGGTATTTCCTAACGTCCTTCCCCTTGACCCCTCCCCTTTCTTCTCACACTTAAGTTTCCCTTATGGCAACCTTGATTGGACTCAGAAAGGACATCTGACTCTCTGATTGGTTGATGATCCTGTCAATCTGGATTCAGAATTTTGCTGAGCCCAGATTTAAACCGTTAGGTTTGCTCTGGGAACTGGAGTTACGGTGCTTGAATTGCAGTGAGATTTGGGAGTGAAAAAAGAATGTTATTGCAGGCTAACCTTGCTGCTAGTTCCTTTTTTACATACCTTTTTGGCAGTTGCTGTCATTCACAAAAAAATAAAAAGTGTACCTCTCCAAATATTGAAATGTAAAAACTTCTGTAGTGAAACACGGAGAATTTGAAATGATAGGTCTATGAATTCTTATTTATTTAAAGTAACATACTATGCTTCTGATTTTTACTTGTCTTGTAATTTTTCATATTTGATGTCATGTTTTTATTACTTTGCTGCTACAACTTTCAGACTACCGTGAGAGAATGTTTGAATTCAGAAACATGACTTTATTTCAAAAGATTACATGATTAAAAGGTCCTTCTGTGGATGTGTGATTCCATTTCTATGAAGTAAAATAAATGAATTAATCTGTAACAAACAAACAAAAACAGCAGTTGTGTTTCGACTGATGAAGGACTTTCTGGGATGATAATACATTTCTATATATTAATAAAAGTTTTGGTTACACAGATATACTTGTTAAACCCTACAAAATCTGCAAAATGATGTGAAATGTATTACAATTTACTTGGAATAAAGTATGGGAAGAAGGATGGCTAAATTGATGATCTATAACAAGACGAATTAATAAGTATTAATGATAAAATTTGTCATGCATATGGACTTTTTCTGCAAAAATTTCCATTTTGATGTATATTGAAGTTATTGGAGATCTTTTAGTGGGAAGATCTCATTACAGATGATTAATTTTGGAGTGATTAAACATTTTGACAATTATGAAAATTGTTTTATATTTCTATTAGAAAGCTTTAAAAAAGTTAGGTTTATCTTCATCTCTCTGTTGATAATAACTATAAAATATATATTTTGTCATACTAGGCACAGAGTTCCGGGTGTTGAGGTGACCAAATTTTTAAGAACAAAATAGTGGTTACTAGAAGGGAAAGCATATGAGTAAGGGCAAAAAAATTGTCAATTATGTGGTGATTATAGAAATGAGAATTCTAGTGAGAAATATGATTAATATAAAAATGTGAATTATAAGACTGTACACTTAAATCTATATAATTTTAAAACCAATTATTACTTCAATTAAAAATAAATCTAATGTTTCAAAATAGAGTATGTTAAAGAAAATGGAGAAGTAGCTGCAAATTATTAAGAGAAGTATACATTTCTGAGAAAAATTATTTGTCATACTAACTTTTCATTCAAATGAAAGAATGAAATAGTTATATGTAGTAACAAAAATGTCAGACCATATATTTGATAAAGGCCCTTCTTGAGTAACAAACTCCAGACAGATTTATCCCCAGAAATAATTATGATTTAGGAATATATTGATGAGTTATGGAAACTCACGAGTTAAAATTGTAGTTAAATGCATTGTGTAAATAAGTATTAATCAACGTGTTTATAAATATTATTAACTACTAATACAAAACATATAATAGGACCAAACAGCAACTATTGAGAGAATTGTAATAGTAATTCTGGAGACCATTTTTAAAGCAAAATATGTGCAGATCAGTCATCAACTTTCATCAGCAGAAGTAGTTTTTAATTTGACATTCATAGACAATTATGAGGGTGGGCTACCATCCAGGTCATAACAGTTCTCTTTCTCGTCATGACCACTTGATACACACAAGTGTGCCCTTATAGGTATATCACCCTAATCTTTCTTCATAACCACTGTGGATGGAACATAAGAGCATACCTGTCCTTAGTGAGGGATCAGATGATTTTTCTAGGAATGGCCCCACACCTCTGTTAGAATCTTTAGTATGGCAATTTAATTGTTAATGAAAGACATATTCCTATAGTTACACAAAAAGGCTAAGTTTAAGGAACATATATTGGATTTTGTGTGTGTTCATTCTTGAAACTCCATTGTCTTTCTGCCATTACATTCTAAAAACACACTCATGGTGTTGAAATGTTCTCGTTCCATTGCTTAACAAACTTAATTTGTTTCCCAATCTAGATTAGTGTTTGTTATTTCTTTTGTAATGAATAAACTGATGAACAAAGGAAGCTGGGACACAGATATATTATTCAGGTACATGATACTGACATGGATCCTGTTTACTTTTAAGGAATTCAACACAGAATCTTCCCATTCTCTCAACCTGTACATTCACTTACCTCACAGGACTATATCTATGCCTATACACAAGACATTGACAACAAAATCGGGGTAATTTTTACACTTTTATGTAAATCATTGAACTACTCTTTAGATTAATTTTGGCATTACAAGTAGCTTAGATTTTTCAATTATTTTCCGTGGCATCAAAAGAAATTTAATGATCATAGATCTATGCTGCCATCTTTTGGTTGTTTCCTAGAATTACCTTTCATGTTGATAATTCTACTGTGCCAGGAGTTGAATTAAGTAATTCTGCAGCTTGGCACACTGTAAGAACATGGTTGGTGGGTTTTGATTTATTCTCACAAAAGGAGCCATGATTTTGCCACGGCTTCAGCTAGCTGGATGAAGAGATATTAAAGAAGACATTACGAGCGGGGATATTGTTGTACGTTGGTAAAGAAGTCCCAAATTGGTGACTAGTTGTCAGTTACGTTTAGATCTGGAACATAACTGCTAATTCACAGATGATTGCGAGGAATGGATTCTGGGATGCATGACCATGCTCTTTTCTTCACTGAAGGACTTCTACCCCCAGTAGCCTGGAGTCCTCACCTGGACAACTCCACAGGCTACCACATAAAAATCACCCTCATTCAGCAAACTTATTTCCCACTCCAGGGAAGCCCACGTACAGGGATGGTAGATAAGGGGACTGTAAAAGGAAGGATACTTTTCTCTTCACCTTTGGACAACTCAGAAGAATACCCCAAGGCATCAGGGGGATTAGCTGAGACCTACCTCTGCTGCAACATGATAACACCTTCCCATGTTGGTAACATCATAGTCCCAAACTTGCACTCTTTCTACCTCCACAGCAATATGTACATCTAGAGACCTTTCCCAGATAAACGTCCTGCAAGTGGATCTCCCTCTCACAGCCTGCTCAACCCCAGTGACTCTCATTACATATAGTTTGTGCTTCAGAACTCTATGGAAACTTTTCGAACATGACATCTGATTACTTTGGATAAAACTCCTTGGTTGTGGTCCAACCCTGGTTAATAGGCTCACATGTGAGTGTTTGTGAATTTTGCTCCAAAGCTATAAAGGTATGAATTCTGGCCTGAACAACTGACTGTGTAATCAGATCTTAGCCCTATGAACTGCCATTCTCTCCCTCAGCCTTTGCTGAGAAACCTCGGACTGGTTTTTGTGTTTGTAACTTTAGTCCTATTCTCGGCCCTTAAATTTTCAGGTGGCATTCTATCAGTTCTTTCCTATATGTGTCCAGTGTACCTTTTATGGAATATCTCAACTCCCATATCCCTTTGAGATGCTTTTCAGTTTTACACATACACAATCTGTCATCATTTTGCTCTCTCATAACTTTCTAACCTAACACTTCATTTTATAGCCTCTAGTCGGCTCATGCACTAGAATTAGAGATGAAAGAATATTTCTCTCTCCTTTTTTGGAATGCTTAATAGATTTATCAATACTTGTTTATCTGGCAGCACCAACTGACTTAGAACCTGAACATCTAAAGACAGCTTTGAAAGAGCTCTATAGTTTGTTAATGATTGCTATTAATTCTGAGTTGAAATTGTTGTCTTAGTCAAAAGAAATAAATACTTAGCATGTGCATCACATGTTAAGAGATTGTAAAACATAGTTGAGACTGTCTACAATCCAAAAATTGTCCTGTTCTTTTATTAGCCTTTCATTCTTCCAGTTACTAAGTAGACAATTTTTTTTAATGTTTTAGACTAGCATGTTGCTATAAGAAGCATGGTATGTGTGTGTGTGCAAAATAATTTGAGTGGCATCTAATTCTTTCCAAACTACAAGAATTTCAGTATAGTGATTAATTAACTAGGTAAGTTCCAAGCATCACACCTGCTCAAATATATAAGCAGAAGTTTTCACTTATTTTATATATAGTTTCAGGGACAGGGACAAAAACAGATGTGGAATTGAGAAACCACCATAAACTCTCTTCTGTGGACATAATTGTTTTCAGAGCACACTCATGCACCATGTTCTTAGAAAGCTGCCGGCCTGGTGGAGGCCAGAAGAGAGTTGAGACTCACACAAACATCTCCTCACTACTTTCAGGTTCTACTCTCCTTTGTCCTCTGGGGAAGGGAAAAAAAAACAAACATTGATGATATTTATGACATTTAGTTCTCCCAACTCTAAACCAACATATACTTTCTTACTATAGCTTTCCTGCCTCTCCCTTTTCTTCACAAAAATTGTGTCTCCTGAAAAAAATTTACCTGTCCATCCCAATTTCTGTTGTCAAGCTGAGGAACTTTATTTAACCCCCACATGGTTAAATCTAACTTCTGATGTCTCAGGTCCTGAAATTTCGTCTAAGCCTCTTTAGCTCACCATACTCATGGTCTCATCCTGAATATTATGATCACCCCCAAATACCATATCAATAAGATCACAAGGTCAAATAAAATCAGAAAATGAATCATAAAGAGTTGTTGTGAGAATGTTTTATCTCACGAATCTGTATTGACAAGGGAGTCATCATTTAGCCTGTAAATTTAGCCATACATTATCAGAGAATTAATTTTCATTGATTCTTTCCCCAATTTATTTATAAATATATA